GTTTTCTCCTCCCCGGATACGTCCAGATCTGTTGGGCAGTTCCAGCGAGTTTGTGTTTGTTCCTAATTTACAGCATCCGCAGTTCTTTTGGTTTTTATTTAGGGATTAATAGAGGTATAGTATCCATTTTAAATTTTCATGTGGTTTGGTAAGTATCTCTGAGCTGGACAGGACCGCCTCAACACTGAGTGCTACTTATTGCAGATTAAACAAGGATGGTGCTCAGGTCATTTTCGAGAAGCGCTTGCATCTTATGACTGAAAATATCTCATCTGCTATTGTAGCTGACAAAAGCTTGGCCATAATAAGAAACTGTTAGGGCCTTTGAGTACTAATGTGTGTGTTTCCCAAAACAAAGTGGAAAAGTATGTATTACTTTGGACCCTTAACTTGCCCGTGACCCGTCCCCATATCAGTTCTGTGGCCACTGGCCCATATTGTCTCCCAGACAAACAATGATTTGATTTTAAAAACCTCATTTTTGGTTTCACAGTGTTCTCTTTGCAGCCTTGCCTCTCCTTGTCTCTGTAATTTCCTGTAGCTCCACGACATTCTGAGAAACTGCAGTCATCTAACCTCCTTGAGTATCCCTCGTTTTAATGATCCATCAATAATTGTGATGCCTCAAGTTGCCTAGGCGCCAAGCTTTACTTCTTCACGGTACCTCTTAAAACCAATATCTTCAATCAGGCTTTTGGTCATCCAGCCAGATAGTTCCTTAAATGGCTCAGTGTTATACATTATTTTATAATGCTCCTTCAAAATGCCTTGGGAAATCTCATTATATTAAACTCACTATATAAATATAAACTGTTATATAATTTAAGTTAGGATTAAGAATTGGTTTTAATTTAAATTTACAATTCTATGCCTTTTCTTCCCCAAAGAACATATCATCGAATGTTCTTGAGGAATCAGCTGTATCAGATGATGTTCTTTCTCCTGATGAAGAAGGAATTTGTGCCGGGAAATATTTCACAGAAGCTGGTCTGGTGGGATTGCTTGAGCAAGCGGCATCCTCCTTTACAATGGTATACAATACATTTCATTGTCTTCCCTCTTGTTTTGTTTTAATTTGGGTCTCGTTCCTTTCCGCTCACTCTAATTATACATTTGGGAATCCCTGTCCTGTACCTGGAGTTATTTTCTTTAACATTTATTCCATATCTGCACACCACCTACCCACCACCCGCTTCCAGTCCAGATAGTACTGTTCAAGCTATAAAATCCTACCACAGTACCGTAATGTATTGGAGGAAAATCGCACAGTTACAATGTCAACGTCCTTTATGGTAGCATATCCTTATGTCATGATATGCTTGTGCTGTGGGAACAAGCTGTAATAACATAATGTGCATCAAACTGAACAGCAAATCTGCTGCATCGGTTTCTTAATGAGGAAAGAAATAATTATCTGGTGGTTGCTCAATGCCTAAGAATGAGCCATTGTGGTGCTGCCAATCTGCTCATCAGTTTTGAGCTGGTGGCGGTGTCTGGAGGTAGGAACCTTTCCATCTAGCTCTTCAGTTCTAATGTTGACAGTGTGGTTTTTTTACTCACCAGGCTGGGATGCATGAAGCTGTAAATGAAGTGTACAAGATCCTGATCCCAATCCACGAAGCCAACCGGGACAGTAAGAAACTGGCAACAATCCATGGAAGACTACAAGATGCTTTTAACAAAATTCCAAATCAGGTATTGCACGTTAACGCAATAGCTGTGTTTTGCTTAGGATTTTGTTCAGTAAATGCAACATGGGAAATACATAATTATAAATAAGCCTTTTGAAAACTTATACAATATTTGGTGGCAGTGGGTGTCCTTGTCCGTCACTCCAGCTAAAACCCTTCCTCATTAAGCACTCCTCCTCCCACACTTGATTTTGCAAATGGGGAGGGAGGATGGTCTGCACTCATAATTTGTCAGTGGAGTTGGCAGCATTGTAATCTGCCTGTTCTCTCACTGCAGCACTCTGGGAAGTATGTCACATCTGCCTTAGTTACCTTGCCAAATCCATCAAACTTTATCATGCAATGTATACAAAAATGCCCCCTAGCTCTTCAAGCGTTATCAGAGCAAATTTAACCCCTGAAGACATACAGAGATTCTAAGGCAGATGGTTGGTTTTAAGGAACGTATTATAAGAGAGGAGGTGGACATGATTAGGAGGGAATTCCAGACCTTGGTATCTCAGTAGCTGAAAGCACAGCTACCAATAACCAGAAGGAAATCAGTCAGAGCGGGGAATTGGAGAGCTGCAAAGAGTTCAGAGAACGTGGATGGTACAGAGGTAACGAGGAAGTGAGGACATGGAGGCATTTGAACAAAAGAGCATGACCTTAAAAATGAGGCATTGCTGAATGAGGATGTAATTTAGGTCATCACATTCAAAGATAATGGGTGAATGGGATTTGATGCAAATTAGGATATGGGCTGCAGGGTTTTGGATGAGCTCAGACTCCAAAGCTTTGCTGGTCCCAGTGGATAGGGTTGCTGCAGCTTTCAGCAGCACAAACCCACAGGCATGTACAGATGCTTGTGACAAAAAGTATTATCCCAGGTAGTCGGGGGTGGGGGGGTGGGGGGGGGTTTTAAAAAAAAACGAGGTTTAGAAAGCAGTGGTAGCATGCTTGCAGGACCTAGTCTGTGCCATGAGATGGCGATAGTGTACTACTTGGGGATTATTGATAAAACTGCTGGCTGCTGCACTCGTCAGGTGTGTGACCAGTCACCTCTGCAAGCAAAGAAATAACACACTGAAATTTGAACTGTATTTAAAATATTCTCAGTTCCAAAATCTTGATTGAGCTGTACCTGCCAATATCCTAATTGAAACCGACATGCAACTTGTTTGAGCTAAATGGCTAAAACTTTGGTTCAAGATGCCATGTACCGTCAGTTTACGGCTGATTGCAATCCAAGCTGTCAAATCTGGTGAGTGACCGTGACTTATGTTGGTTTAACAATGCAGGCAAATCCTGATACGTGGCCCTCTTGAAAGATAAACAGTGCTATGGGTATGCAGTCTGTCATGGATCGTAAATCTTACTTGCCACGATTACTTAAAAGTACAGGACATAGATAATTGACTGTTATCCGAGGAAGGTCACAAAAATTCCAGATTGCTCAGTATTTGATATCCAGCCATTCTTCAAACAGTATAGGGGTGTTACTGGAATAACACAGAACATCTTTAACAAAAGTCAAAATGCAAATGAAAACACACGTTTTAATCTGCTGAGAATTATCCCAAAAATTCTAAGTAATTCATAGAAAAAATGATCCTGAATGATAAGTTTCGTTCTTGAGATTAATTTTCATTCTCCGATTTAAAGTTCATCCTCTTTCCCAACCAGCCCTAGTGTTGGAATTAACCCCACCAGCCAAGGTGTTCATCCTAATTCAATGCTTGGCACATCGCTCGGAAAACTTCTGTGGCTGTCTGCTGCTTTTAGAATTTTGTCACCAGTAGTGTGGGTTCCTCTTGTCCCAGTCCACTGCTAAAGAGACGGAATTTTGAAACCCCTGTTGTTTTGGTTACCCTTTTCAGCATTCCTTGTCCTGGTTGTAATCAGTGAACACAGTTTTGATGATCACTGCTGAGTCCATTTGTCCTTCTGCTGGTGTTGACACACTCTACACTGACACCCACCCCCTCCTGGTGGCCTTGAAATTACTACCTGGTGCCAATGTCTCATTTCCTCCCACCTTGAAGGCATGCGTGTCCAAAGCTGTAAAGGTACAACAACAGAATGATTTGGAGTTTTGAGCTCTGGAAAGGAAAATCTTACATTCTTCATAATGACTCTAACTGTAGGCTGTGTGATGAGATGTGAGAATTTTGTGACTTAACTTGATTATTGGAGGCAGTGTCTTGGTAGGATTCCTACAATGGAATGAAAACATCAAGCTTAAAATGACAAATGTACAGTTGCTCTTTGCCAACGTGCTGTTTGATAAATGTGATCCTGAGCAATTTATTTCCCCTCCTCCCCCTTTCTTTGTCAGTGGCTACTGCATTCCTTTGGCTTTGACATTGGCCCTAGTATACCTTTTACTGTGGCACTGGCTGATCCATGCCCTTTATTGTGACCTTGACTGTGTACATTTTGCATTGACAGCAACTGGGCTGTCTTGTTCCAGTAGCAAATATATGCCCCTGGCTATGACATTGAGTAATGTAAATCCGTCGTTGTGATATTAACGAATACAAAATCCTCGCTGTGACACAATGAAATCGACCCCTTTCTGTGACATTAATTGATATAGTCCCCTCGCTATCGCATTGATATAAATCCCTTACCCTTACATGACACTGAGTGATGTACACCCCTCACTCTGCTGGTTTATACAGCCATGTTTGACATTTGCTGCAGTGTTGCCTGATTTGTGCACTTTAGAGCTGTCATTGCCAGAACACTCTGATAAACCATCCTTTTGATCATAGGTTTTAAATGGCTCTGAAATGCAACATAATAATGAGTGTAGTCTTTACCTCAGAATTGTGTGTTAACTCCTGGATCTGTTTGAGTATTAATTGATCAGTGAATTTTGTCTCTCTCGCTTTATTTCTCCCCTTCCCCCTCTCTGTCCATGTGCAGAGTTCTGGCTGGGAGGTAGGCTGCATGCACTCCGTGCGGATTGAATTGTTTGTATGATGATGGTGCTTTTGCATGTCGTGGCTGTGTCATGTGAGGAGACAACGCACACTCCAACTGGAAAATATCTCCTGTTCTAACTAACTGGGTGCAGGCTTTGGAAGTTGCTTCAGGCAGCCATTGGATTGTCTAGGGTCGGGAGGGAGGAAGGAATGACACTTACCCATTTCTGTTGGTTTTATTTTTATACCGTTTCCAATGATTTCTTCCTGTCTTTGTTTCCTTCACATTACACCATTTCCTTCTTGAGGTCAGTAGGCAAGCTGCTCTTAGCTTGTCCCACTTGATGTTTTAAAGTGTGTTTCTAATTTTTCCACCCTCGTGCTGACTCACTGTTTAGTTTCTATTGCCACATGCTTTGAGGTTCAGCCTTGATGTTGTCTAGACAGCGAGTGTCACCAGACAACTGCAGGCTGTAAAAAGCCAGCCTGATGCTGTTCTCACTCCTCCACATGCGTATAGGTTAGAGGGCAGGAACCAAACTCTCAGGAAATTTTCTCCATTCTCAGGACACAGGAATATAGATCCCCAATGTAGATTAATAAATTTAGCACAGATTAGGATTCTAATCAGTTAACTTCTGGGCTATATATCTGAGCCACTTTATAATTATGGGGAATAGGTCTTGGTCAATACCAAGTTTTCTAATTTATGATTGGGAGACACATGATTCAATGTCAAAGGAAAAGCTGGAAGACTGCCCAGGGTTCTGAGTCCTGAACCCTTGCCCTGAGATATTTGCACTTGCCCTTCACCTGAAGCGTGAGTTTCGCCTGCTTTTGTAGGAGTTAAGACTATCTGTGTTTTGAGAATGAGAAAAGGTGTCCCTCTGTGAACACTGCTGACTTGGGAACAATATTGTTGGTATATTGGAGGCATTTCTCTGTCAGTCTCTCAGACTAAGGAAGAAAGCTAAGATGCTGAGCCCTTAGTATTGAAAACGATGGTGAGTTCCACACCTGTGGAGGGATCACCAGGTCTTTAAATTGTCAAATTAAATTTCTCAGATGGGAAATGAGCTCCCCTTCAGGATTTCTAGGGAGTGCCTCCGTGTTCTTCAGTGAACTGATAAATCCAGAGGGCTGCCTGAAGAGAGCTTAAAGTTAATATCCCATTGCCTGACAGTTCCATAGTCACCCTGTATTGCTCACTGACTGACGTTTCCCAGCGTGATCACGTCATTTGTAACACTGACCTTCAAGTCATGTTATAACCAAATAATTTCCATCACACACATCTTGTGGCTCACACAGCTGTTTCTGCTTGTGTTTGCAGCATACCTGATAACACATCTGCTGGCTTCCTCCCACCAACTCCACGGGAGTGGGAAAGGGTAGTCAATGTGTGGGTTGCTCTTTTCCTGTGTTTTTGAAAACCTGCATAGAAACACAAGACAAAATTTAAATTTGGCTCATTCCCCAAAAAGAAATGTGAATGTGGTTGAGGTGGAGTAGGTGGAAATTAAAATTTTGATTGATTTTAAAACACAAAGTAACATTCTGGTGGATCCGAACCAAACACTAGGTGTGCTGGAAAAGGTTGCTGCTTGATTGTGGCTGTGTTGGATTCTGGGCAGATGAGCCATTAGCCCTTGGGCCATAAAACACTGTAACTTGTGTTAAGATGCAGGAAGCAGTGGTTTATTGAGGAAAGCCAGCAGGTTTTATGTCAGTGTGGAGATGAAGACTCTAAAGCATTAGGCAGGATGCCTGATGCTTTAATGAAGTCACTGTCCCCTGTACTTTGTAAAGGCTGCTGTAAAATGGTTTCTTATTACAACATAGCTCCTGTTAAGACTGTGTGCGCCATGTAGTCAGGGATGTGCTCCTGCTGAATGGTTTTTCTGTTAATTTTGAGTTTTTTTTTTGTGTGTGTGTGTATATATCATTTAAGTTAATAGACATGTTTCAAATGCATTAGTTCTGGGTACTATAATTTCACTGCACTGCAGAAGGATGTGAACTATTTTGTCAGCAATAAGCCCTTGCCTCTGGTAAGTTACTCCTTTGTATGTCAGAACATTATATGGAGGGGCTGATGATGAAAGCTTCATAAGTGACCAAGGTGGAGTTTTAAGTTGAGAAACTTACTGCAGCATTGGGCTCACCTGATAGAATGGAACTTGTTCATTCTAATCTTGGGGCTCTAGTTCATGGTTATCTTAAACTGAGTTGATTCAGACCCTGTGAGAGAGATGCCTCTGCTTTATAGCGATACATGGCCCAGTTACATGTTCAATTGAGATTTAACCAAAAGCATTGACCGTAACGTGTGACAACTCTTCAGCCAAAATTGTGCCTTCTACCTGTTATCAGGTTGGAGGTAGTTGGGGGAAGGTGTGTTGTGGTTTCCCTGTGACAAACCCTGAGGTGAACTGCTGCTGCCAGTCAGGAAACACAGTCCAAACTTAGAATGATATCCCTCTGAAGGGCAAGGTGTGCCTATTCACTCTTCTCAAACTGCACAGAACGATGACCATTTACTGATCGGTAGGGGTCATCTGATCATCCGGCGGCTGGTAAATTACATATCTTTTAGGATAGAGGGAGGGAAATGAAACTTCATGAGGTAGGAATTGATTTTGTTCACACACTGTCCATCTTGGCAGCAGCGCTCACACCTTGGTGTCAAGAGTGGACACCTGTACATATGATTGGTGTACAGTCTATCCATTGATGATTCTTTCTGTGTGCTCTCTCCTTTATTCCACTTGCTGCTGGTCATTACTGTCTCCTCACTCCATCCTGTGGTAAGTTGTTTTAATTTTTTTACAGACTTACAGTAATTATATTATTTGTACTGAAGATCACTTAAAATGAATGAATAATTTACTCAAATGTTTCTGGTGTTCAATCAGTCATTTCTTCAATCAACTCCTATTCTTGGGTATTATTTCAACTATCAAAATTTCTCTAAGTATCTGCTAACTGAGTGAAAGTCTGTACAAGTGACTTATCAATTTGGCAAGGGTGAGCACTGCAATGTGTTAAAACCTGGCCTTTCGGTCCTAGCTGCCAGGCTGACATATTGATCAGCTCTTCACTCAACAGCAAGTTGGCCCTGTGCTGTCAAATAAGTCTGCAGCAGTGTCTGGACCTGAGTGGGTGTCACTGAGGTGTCCAAGCCTGTTGATTGGTGCAGGAGCCTGTTGAAGAGATCTGGAAATAAAGCATAGGTGAAGTCAACAATATCAGCGGTGTGGTGATACAGTCAAGTCTCAATCTTCAGGGAGTGTAAAAGAACATTCTTTTACGCAGTGGTTCACATTTAGTCAATCAGAACTAAGTATCATTACCAACCACAGACATCCTAACCTTAACAAGAACAAAATTTGACCAAACATTTCGGGAGTACTGCAGAAATACAGAAGGTCCCAATCACTGCAATCAACCAACTTTCCAACCTTTATTTTGAATCCCCTGCAACCATGATCTTTTGTCTCCCTATATCATGATTAAATGTCTTCCCCACCCATCATTACTGACTGCTGGGGAATATCTCCAAGATTTCTTAGCCATAGTTTCCTGATGCTACAAGGCATTCCGAACCAAAACCCAGGCTGTCAAGACTGACAGCTGGTTGTCAGATGGGAGACTGCCCAAACTTATTTAATTGAGGCCTGGCAGTTAAAATTATCCAGGTCCCCACTTCCCAACCTTGCTGGGCTTTTCAGATGCTAACAGGCTGCCCACACCCTCCTGGCCTCTCTATTAAAATGATTTTCATTCTGGCCTCTCCCTTTTGCTTTCTACTCAGTTACTGGATTTATCTTCATCCCTCAGAGGGTTGTAGAAATTAAAATCATTTCATGCATTTTCTCGATCTGCTTTGGCATCATCAGGTTGTGTGTTGATATTCTTGATTAATAGCCTGGGGTGCTAGCTCAGCTTTGACCACTTTGGCAGTTGTAACCATTTATGTCAGAAATTATTTTCTGGAAAGTGAATGGAGAGAGAAATGAATGATCCAGTTGAAGCCTACAGAGTGATTGAAATGTGTTTAGTCAATCTCGGTCTGGCTACATCTTAAATTCTGCACAATTTAGAGGGGCTAACAGGGGAACTTGCAAAATGTAATACTAAAGTAGTACAGCCCTTCTAAGGGAGCCTTAGTTGTCATTGAAATATTTAAAAGCATTAGTGAGACAAGAAATTAATCTAAGTTGAGGGCGTGTTAACAAGCAGAGAGAAAGCAACGTTGGTCTTCAAGCCATATTTGCTGGCCAGCCAAACTAAACCTTTAACAATGAGCTACAGTCTTTAGCCCTTACCAGATTGCCTTGATAAAAATAATACTGGCCAAATAATGAGATTTAAGCGATAGAGTGTGAGTGGAGGTTTGAACATGTCACTGCTTTGCTTTGTTTGTTTACACACTCCAATCTCCACTTTACATAGGGCTCGAAGAGGATGTTTGGGACTTACTTTCGAGTTGGTTTCTATGGTTGTAAGTTTGGAGATTTGGATGAACAGGAGTTTGTTTACAAGGAGCCTTCAATCACTAAGCTAGCAGAGATTTCATATCGGCTTGAGGTAAGCAAGTTTGACAAAAATCAGTTTCAAGAAAAGAAAGCTTTACAGAGTTTTTCACAACCTCAAATCATTCCAAAGCGTTTTATAGCCAGTGAAGTACTTTTATAGCGGAGTCAGTTATTGTGGGATACACAGGAAGCAGGAATGTGATAAGGACAACATATTCTGTTTCATGATTTTGCATGAGGGATAAGTATTGACCAAGGTACCAGGGATGACTTCCATGCTCCTCTTCGTAATAGTGTGGTGGGATATTTTACATTCACCTCAAAAAACACACTCAGTTTAACTTACTACCCTAGAAATAACTCACCTGTAGTGTAGCATTCCTCGGCATGGATCTGGAGCATTGGCTGAGATTTGTTTACCCCTGTAGTGTGAGACTTGAACGCATGACCCTTTGATTCTGTGAGAGACTCATTGGAAATGTGGTTGACACCTAATTCTGACAGAAATGAGACTGTGGGATTTAACCGTTAAAGTACCACTTTCAGTGAACATTGTGTGTATACTGGGCATGACCTATCAGGATTGTGACCTACCATTCATGCTGGAAGGTCCAGAATAGATAATCACTGAGAAGATGAAACAGCATCATTGTTATATAGAAATATAGTCTGATGCTGTGAATAGCAAAGTAATGACCTGATAACACCACCACTAGGTGGCTTAATAATGTGTACTTATGAGTCCTGAAGTTTAATGGGGTTTCTGTACATGCTGTCATTAAATCAGTGTGTTCTGCATTGTGGCAGGAATTTTACCGTGACCAATTTGGTGAAGAGGCTGCTGAGATTATTAAAGATTCCAATCCGGTTGACAAAGCTAAACTGGATCCTAATAAGGTAACAGCAATCTCAACACCACATTATATGGGGATGAAAATTACTCACCATCACAGCCTGCCTAGCTGATTTACAAGCTGTGCACTCATTCCAGTCTGCAGTGCACAGCATTTGAGTAGCCATTGCATGCTTTTACTTTGCAGGTCAAAGTGAGGAGCTTAGATGTGACCTCGGGTGTTCCATGTGGTATATACCTCAGATAAATTCAGCATAAAGATCTCTCTGTTCTGATACACCAGTGTGCCTTTTTTCCAAACATTAACAACTTCCTGTCCTGCACTAATCTAAAGCTTCTAATGCCTGAAACACTTTTGGTGTCTTTGCATAAAGGTGTTTATTTAGTACATAAAAAAGTAACAAATAGGAGGAGTCTTATGCAGTGGATCTTTGTTCATTAGGATCTACATTGAGATTACTCAAGGTTAGATCACTTTAGATACTTACAAACAGTTAACAGAAGAGGCTTGAGTCATATTGGTCATATTGTAGTCCATGGCCCAAAGGTGAAATGCTAACATACTCCAGCAGCTCTTTGGCATTGGTAAATTCTTTATGTAGCCATTTTGAGGAGCCAGTTCTTTCCTTGACCTGCAGTTCTGCATTTGTACTGTTATGGCTAGAAATTTAGCAATGGAACACACAGAAGGAAGTGAATTAGTAAAAGATGAACAAAGAATGACAGTGATATTTAAACCTTTTGGTTGAATGTCACAAACTGTTGAAGAGCAGACAAATCCTAAATCATTTAAAACTTAATAAAAGGGAAATATTAGAGGTTAGTTAAACTAAAGAAGCACAATATGCCACACCTTGATGGGGTAAAGCCTAAAGGAAATTGAGGAAGAAATGGCAGAGAATGTAAAAACTTTATTTCAGTCTTCAATTGGGGGTGAATATGTTATGTAGGTCAAGAGAGTGGTCATTTTTGCAAAAGGGAGACAACTGTTCTAAGTAATTACAATACACTTAACATCTGTGCTAAGGCAAATGTAAATATCTTTAATTAGAAATTAAATTACTGAATATCTAGATGAAGAGATGATGTTTGGAAACAACCCACACGTTGTAGGAAGGGAGATTGTGTTTGGCATGTCTGCTAGTTCTTCAGACTGTAGCAGATGTGTTGGGTGATGTTTTAAACGTGTTTGACAAGGTATGTAACATGAAACTATTGGAATTGATTAAGGGGTCTTTAAGATTAGAGCAATGTTAACAAACTACATTTTGACCATCAAAGACTAAAAATTTAAAATTAAGAGCAGTTTCTGGTTGGAAGTGGTTCGTAGTGTCCAAAAGCATTCTGTTTTGGGACTATTTGTAATTATTCTGTACATCAGTGACTTGCATTGGCTATAGGGCAAGAGGGACAAAACTCCATTCAGAAACAGAATTAATCATTGACGTCCAAAGCAAGCTGCTATATTGAGATAGCGGAATGGTCAAAATGCTTCAGGTGGCATGGTACTTAAATATTTGGGAGAAGAAAAGTAAGCACATTGAATGGGAAATGGGCTTGTCATGTGGAAGAACAGAGGGATTTAGTTTCAAACTCACAAGATTAAAGATAATACCTCAAGCGACATTGAAGGCACAGCAGTATATTTCAAAGTAAGGATGCTTACTGTCTTAGAGGTGGATTTGCAACCAGTTCTGCTCCCATTTATCCGATGCCCCTGCCCTTCTAGAGGGTGATGAAAGATATTGTCTGAGGCGCGTTGGTGAATTTCTTCGGTGCATCTTGTAGAGGTGCATGCTGCTGCTACTAAATATTAGTTTGGAGGGAGTTGGTGTTTGTGCAAATGGTGTCATTCAAGTGGCTGCTTTGTGCTGAATAGTGTCAAGCTTTTCGAGTGTTGTTGGAGCTGCACTCAGCAAGGCAAGTGGGAGTATTTCATCACAATCCTGTCTTGTGCTTTGTAGATGGTAGATAGGCTTTGGGGAATCCAGAGGTGCATTAATCACTGTAGGGTTCCTAGCCTCTGAGGAAGATGGTTAGATTCTCTTTTGTTGGAATGGTCATTGCCTGCCACTTTTGAAGCACAAATATTTCTTGCCACTCGTACATGGAGCTCTTCAGTATCTGAGAAGTCCTGAATGGTGCTAAATGTTGTGCCATCATCAGCAACCATACCCAGTTCTGACCTTATGCTGGAGGGAAGGCCATTGATGAAGCAATTAAAAATGGTTGGGCCTAGGAACACTACCCTGAGGAACTCCTGTAGGACTGACCTGGAGCTGAGATGACTGACCTCCAACAACCACGTCATCTTCCTTTCTGCCAAGTATGACTCCAACTAGCAGAGTGTTTTTGTCTAAAATCCCATTGACTCTAATTTTGCTACAGTTCTTTGATACCACACTCTGTCAAATGCACCTTGATGTCATTGGAAGTCACACCTGTGGAATCAGCTCTCTTATCTATGACTAAACCAAAGATATAATGAGGTCCGGAGCTGAGCAGCCTTGGCAGAATCCAAACACTGTGTCGGTAAGCAGGTTAATGCTGCGCAAGTGCTGCTTAATAGCACAGTTGATGACAAGTTTCATTACTTTATTGATGATTGAAAGTAGACTGATGGGCTGGCAATTGGCTGAGTGCAATCCATCGTGCTTGTTTATGTACAGGACATACCTAGCCAATTTTCTACATTGTCATCTGGATGTTGATGTTGCAGCTGTACTGGAACAGCTTGATTAGGGGTACGGCACATTCTGGAGCATCTGCCTTCAAGTGCTGTTGAAAAAATGTTGTCAGGATCCAGTGCCTCCTACCGTTTCTTGCTATCTTTTAGTGCAAATCGAATTGGCTGAAGACTGACATCTGTGATGCTGGGGACCTCTGAAGGAGACTGAGGACTTCTGGCTGAAGATTTTTGCATACACTTCTCCTTTATCATGTGCTGGGCTCTCTCATTGTTGAGGATGAGGATATTTGTGGAGCTTCTTCCCCCAGTGAGATGTTTAAATGGACACCACCATTTATGACTGGAAATGGCAGCGCTGCAGAGCGTAGATCTGATCCATTGGTTGTGGCATGCTTATTCCTCTCTATCACTTGCTGCTTACACTATTTGCCAAACAAGTCATCCTGTTTTGTATCTTAAAAGGATACCGCCTGGTATGAAAAAATATAAGCATTCAAACATAAAGTGCTGATGATAAAGTAAGCATTAAAATATTGAGCCAATTTTCTCTATAACAGGAATTGTTTCAGGAGCATTTGATAGAGGTGTTCAAAATTAATGATGGGAGAGGTCAAGGTAGATGGGCAATTTATCATGTCTAGTCATTAAGGGGTTTACAAAAAGGAGAAATGGGCACAACATTAAATGAAAGAGATTTAGAACAGAAAGCAGGAAAAAGATTTACAAATACTTTTTTGTGGACCAAAGTTAGTGATTGAGCAGAAACTGGATACTGAGGTCATGGGAAAAGAATAGGCACATTTTATTAGGATACAACTTTCTAGAGGATTGACGTCAGTATGTTTATATTTGTATTTTCTGTGTCATTTTTGGATCCTTTCTGTCTGACTTCTAATCTACTGAAGTTGAAAGCATTCTGAAGAGCATTTGTGTTTTTCAGGCATACATACAGATCACATACGTTGAGCCTTTCTTCGACACCTATGAGATGAAGGACCGAATCACTTACTTTGACAAGAATTATAACCTGCGCTGCTTCATGTACTGCACACCCTTTACATTAGATGGTCGTGCTCATGGGGACCTGCATGAGCAGTATAAACGGAAGACTATCCTCACAACCTCGCATGCCTTCCCCTACATCAAAACCAGGATCAATGTCATCCATAAGGAAGAGGTAGGGACCCTATGACAGGATTCCATTGAATCAAATGCCCTTTGATCAATAAGGATAGTGTGGGGTTGTGTGTAGAGCAGAGGTGGTTTGTTCTCATCAAGATGAGAGGTTTCTGAGAGTGTTTACCCTATCTTTTAACCAGTTATAGTTTTAAATCCTCCCTGTATGTTATCTGCACAAAATGTTCATTGTCACTGTGTTGTGTGTGTTTGCTGTGCTATCTCCATGTTTGAGTGAATGTGTTAGATTAGAAACAGTTTTGCAGCCTGATACTGAGGTGTAAAGCAATCACTATGCCATCTGTTCTTCGTCTGAATAAGATCATATCTCCATCCAGTGTCTTCAAGTTGGATTTCAGCCCTGTGTCCTGGAGCTGAAAGTTTAACAACAATGTCCTGCATTCTGTGATTTCTTTTCATATCTATAATATATTGTGTGTCTGTGTCTGTGTGTGTGAGAGAGAAATAGTCACTTAAAACATCAGGCCTGTAAATGACAAATTAGGTTTTGAAAGAAAGAATTTGCACTTATATAGCAGCTTTCACAATTGCTGGATATCTCAGAGCATTTAACAGCTAATGAAATATTTTTGAAGTGTGGTCACGTTTTGTTTATTCACTTGTGTGATGTGGGTGTCGCTGGCTAGGCCACCATTTATTGCCTATCCCTAGTTGCCTTTGAGAAGGTGGTGGTGAGCTGCTTTCTTGAACTGCTGCAGTCCATGTGCTATAGGTACACCCACAATGACATTAGGGAGGAAATTTCAGGATTTTGACCCAGCGACAGTGAAGGAAGGATATATATTTCCAAGTCAGGATGATGAGTGGTTTGGAAGGGGTGCTTATCTGCTTCCATTGTCCTTCTAAATGGAAGATAGTACACATTGTTGCTACTGAGTGTCAGTGATGGAGTGACTTAATGTTTTGGTGGATGCTAATCAAGGGGGCTGCTCTGTCCTGAATTGTGTCAAGCTTTTTAAGTGTTATTGGAGCTGCACCCATCTAGGCACTTGCACGCCTATGTTCCGCGAGCTATATAATGTGTATAATAATAGATGTATATATTTACATGTGTGTGTAAAAAATGTGTAATTTATTAAAACAACTATTGTTGTAGGGAACACGGCAACACAGCAGACTCCCACAACCAGCAATGTAATAGTGACCAGATAATCTCGTCCGGTGAAATTGGCTGAGGGATAGATATTGGCCAGAGCACTGGGAAAACTCCCTAGGTCTTCTTTGACATAGTGACATATCAGTTTATACATCCACCTGAACGGGCAGATCCTTCCTTCTTCCCTCCGACATCTCATCCGGAACAAAACACTTCTGACAATGCTGCACTGGAGTGTCAATCCTAATTTTTGTGTTCACGCCCTGGAATGGGATTTGAACTCAGAAACCTGTGATTCTGAGGCCAGAGTGCTACCCATGGCTGACAGCCAAGCGGACAACGTCACTGAATGTACAATCTAGATGATAAAGCTGTGTAGCTAGAACATTTCTGTTGACTGATATTCCACTTGAATGTATTAGTAGGAAGTTTCTCGACCCTGTTTTACCTTTCATCAGCAATTGCTTAAGAGAGTTTGGGTCCTGATTGATGGACCGACCCCAAGATAGTGCAGCTCCATAGCTGGCCCTTCACCACTGTGTGACTGGCTGACCCTGCAACTTTGATCATCCTTGTCACAGGTTGGCAACATGACCCTCAGTGCTGTGATTGCTGGAGGTCCTGACTGTCACCATTTCTCATGAATGTTATCGCTGCTACTACATCCATCACCTCCAGGTTCTGTAAGGAATTAAAATTGTTGGTCCAGGCAAATAATTCACTGTGGTGAAGCAATGAGCTCAAAATGAGGAAGATTGGAGTAATAAGGAAAGTCAGGGTACTTTGGTGAAATGACCTTCCTTAACCATATCTGTCATAAGAAATAGGAACAAGAGAACACCATTCGGCCCCTCGAGTTGATGTTATCGTGTGATAAAGAATGTTCAGGAGCACAGTGGATCTCTTAGGGAAGTCAGTGACATAGAGAATGCAACAAACAATTAAGTATGGTTCTGGAGACAATACTGTTTGCACTCTTATATTTATAAATCCTGTGTTCCCATTTTCAGACTATATTAATCCCAATTGAAGTCGCGATTGAAGACATGCAAAAGAAGACCCAAGAGTTGGCTTTTGCCACACACCAGGATCCAGCAGATGCCAAAATGTTGCAGATGGTATTGCAGGGAAGCGTAGGAACCACAGTCAACCAGGTACAGTTCCTTCATGCACTCTATAGCCGGATAAGTCCCAATGTATACAGCCCATTGGGCTTTTAAGAGTCAACCACATTGCTGTGGGTTTGGAGTCACATGTAGGTGATACTGAGTAAGGATGGCAGTTTCCTTCCCTAAAGGACATTTGAGAACCAGATGGAATTTTACAATAATTGATATTGGTTACATGATTTTTAGGCTATCTTTTAATTTCAGATGTTTATTGAATTAAAATTTCACCATCTACCATGGGTGATTCAAACCCATGTCCCCAGAGTATTAACCTGAGGTTCTGGATTACTAGTCCTGTCCATCTTACTACTATGCCAACACACAGTGCAAACACAAATATGGGCCGATGATAGGTATATTGAGTTAGCTCACAGCTCAGCCATGCTCATGTTGAATGGGTCTCCAGTTCAAAGGGCTAAGTCGTCTCCTGCTGTTCCCATGTTCACAATCAAAATTCTCCAAACAGTCATTACCTGGTTTGTTAAATGAAGAATAGCCACATGGATTAGCAGCATGGTGTACAGCTGCTATCTGAGCTTCCATATTCCAGAGTCAGTGTATTTACAAAAAAAGGTGCGAAGGGACCAAGTTATAGTTTGCATAAACTACTTCCTATGTACTCTTACTTCCATTGTTTTTCTTTTCCAAGTCTTTTAACCTTCACCTCTAGACTGTAATATTATGTCAAGTAGCATATGGTTAAAAATGATGGCAGTTTCTAGGTTTGTGAAGTTTCTAACAGATGGCCCATTGAAATAATCCTGGTTTCTCTCTGGAATTTTCTTAGGGGCCTTTGGAAGTGGCCCAGGTTTTCCTAGCAGACATTCCAGATGATCCCAAGCTCTTCCGACATCACAACAAGCTACGCCTCTGCTTCAAAGACTTCATGAAGCGGTATGTCAGTATCTTTGTGTCTCCAATGTACCAGTCAACAGAGTCACTCTGCATTACAGCTCCCAGCTTCCCTCGATTTCACAAACAGTAGTCGCATTCTGACTGACCCCTTTTAAAACTTCCTTTTAAACACCCTACCAACATACATCATCCTTTTGTTGAGACGGGGGTGGTGAACCAGTTCTTCATTCAATGCTAGTTGCAGGCCAGCATCAGTCGGGTGAATGTAGATTAAAGGAGAATAGTGGCTGCTAATTAAGAACTGGCTGGTCTCCCTCACTATAAGGCAGTGTCTGACCTCCACTCTTCACCGAAATGTGGACCAGATCAAGAGTGCGCAAAATTCACAGTATCTCCTGGTAACATGGCAGGTTTTGTAATGTACAATGACACTTGCAAAGCTGTTCTGTGCAATGATAAATTTCATGTGATACACCTATGAAGCAAGTCTTTTATCTGCAGCTGTGAAGACGCTTTACGCAAGAACAAGACTCTGATTGGGGCAGACCAGAAGGAGTACCACCGAGAGTTGGAACGGAACTATCACCGACTGAAGGAGTCTCTACAGCCAATGATTAACAGGAAAATTCCCCAGTTATACAAGTCTCTCATACCCAGCACAAGCCACCGGTAAGGGATTCTCCTACAGGTCTGAGATTGAGAATGTTGCACTCACTTGGCTGAAATTGTGTTCCACTTTGGAGACTTGGGTTTATTCAACTTGCCATGCTTTACCTTCTCTTCTGGCTCTCCCTGTCAACTCCATATATTTAATTTTGCTTTTAAAAGAAAATCATTCTTCCATCTCCTTTTGCTTAGTCTCTTCTTCTGTTGACTTTCTGTCTCGCTGTCTTTCCCAACTCTTTACACCCATTTGTACTGCCTGCCCCTGTCACTCATTCAACCCTTCTACCTTTCCCATGTTCTGCTTCCACTTGGTTCTCAGCCCCAGGGATTAATTTTTTTTTTTTGTCTTTTCCCTTCCTTCCTGTCTGACCCTCTCATCACCCAGCCATCAGTTTCGCTACACTGCAGTGGTTGTCTGTAACACCCTCCTCTAAACTTAGTACTTTTCTTCCAGGAATTCTTTCAGCAGATCGAGTCTGCGTAAAGTGGAAATTTGAAGACCCTGTGGATGCTTTTATTCTTTTCTTTTCTCGTGCATGAAGGACTTGGTATGAAGGAGGATCATGTAGAAGGGACGACACCCAGTACTCAGCATCTATTTTCTTTAAAGCCTTCTCTTCAGGTCTCATACAACAGAAGGCAGGTGACTACAAAATCCAAGCCAAGTGTGACTGAAGCTTTGCTTTCACAGTCCAGTCACAGGAAACCATTTTCCAAATAAGAATTGTAGCTCTGAGACAGCCTGGTGGCTAGATCTGTATGAGCTGATTTTATGTTGCTCGTGGCATCATTTCATTCATTGCCAAGAGTGAGTTAACTTGTGAAAATGCAGACATTTGAAGAAAAAGACTTGTCTGCGTCCATTGGAGATGCTGCAGTGATGAGACAAAGGGTTGTCTTTGCTTGATATGTTGTTCTTTCCATGTCCTGTACACCTGTGCCCTATGCAGTATTACATGGGCCATTCTGTATCAGTAACAACTGGGAAAAGTTGGATATGCGCCACGTTGTGGAGTGGGCACTGATCTTTCTTTTGTGAGAGTTTTTTTTTGACACAAAAGTGTCTGGAGATACAAAAAGGCAGCATTTGGCACTGCCTTAAGTTGGCATTGTATAACAGAACATGTATTGGGTCAATCTTGATTAAGTATACCACTAACTTGGAAAGCAGACTTATACCACTGTGATGCCTACCAATCACCACCATTGGTCAATTAGTAGCTGTTTTGTAATGTCATTACTATTTCCATTATGCAAATATTTTATGTATGTACCTTCTCGGAACCACTAATTAGTCAGTTGGTGGTTTCAGGCACTGATTCCTTTCCAGTAGATGTAGGCTGTAGACCTGGAATAAGACTTTGAAATAACCTGCCCTGATTGTGCAACTCCATTTTGTTTCCTGTTGCCGAGTTTTGTGGTGTTTCATGCACTCCGATTGTGCATTGTTAACCTTGTTAGTCAATAAGGTGGAGGAACTGCCTGTTGTAGCACCTGAAGAGGCTAATGACATCCCAGCACATCCACTCAGACCTTTTCCTGCAAACCCCAGCTGACAAATGAACTGGGCTAACAAGGAATTTTGGAGATGTGCCTGAGATGAAAGGTTTTTGTTTGGACACAGCTGGTAGACCGGGTTACTAAACAGTACCCTCATCTGTGTGCAAGTCCAAGTGATGATAGGGGTAGAGTACCGCATCCTAAAGTGGGAGAGAATGTATAGACCTGTAGTGGATGATGTTGGCCTCTGCTTTAGGAAATCCTTGCTTCCTTGTTTAAAAGAAAAAGTCACTCCAGAATAGAGGAGACCTTTGTGCACTGTTAGTGATTGGTCAAATTTTACAGATCATGTAAAGTTAATGCTGTTTACAGTGTTATGAAAATGTATCTGTCAAAAAAAGCGGTCTTACTGCAATCAATGTTTAATCCTCATGTCCGTATTCAGGGGCTGAACTAACACTATAAAGACCCAAAACGTTCTATATTTTAAGAATGCCAGAGAGTTAATGCTATGCTTGCAGTAACATAGCATCATATCTTCATATCTGTACAGAAACATCCCTAACTCAATACAAATGTGTAGATGTGCACCACATCACTTCAGTCCCCCACATTCGTTACCGTTTTTTCAGAATGAAACCTTCTGAGTTGAGCATTCTCTCACCCTTTCTCTCATTGTTATTGGTCTTATATTATGTGTATCTGTATTTCTGTTAATGCTTGCCTTTAATTTAAAAGAGACCAAATTAATTTTCCACTCTATACTCTGATTATCTTGACTTCATTATAAATAGTGACAGGTCCAAGGCACATGAATCCCCTGGTATCTAATGTGTGATTTTTTTTACACCTGGCTCCTCCCATCAACCCAAACCAGCATTTGGTTCATGGCAGGGGCAACTTCCTTTACATCTCCTTTCAATGTTTGAAGAAGACCAAGGAGAGAATTCTGGATAAAGCCACCATATTCCCATACAATCCGAGTGCCTTTATCCTTGGAGACAGTCCGTTCTGGCTGTCATGGTTAAAACCTGATCCTGCTGTCTCATCTGGAACAAGCTGATTGTAATCTTTACTCAGATCTGTTTCCGTATTTTTTATGATTTATTCTTATTTATTCAGAATTATTTAAAATAAGATTTAATGGGATTTTTACACAGAGCATGTTTATTAAAAATTGTTGAGGTCTGACGCACTTTGTCTATAAAATCCAGTAACCAGGGCTTTTATTAGACATTTACTTAGCTAGGGCTGGTTTGTCCCACTTTTCCCTCCACTTGCAAAGAGAGGAGGGAGCTATATTTCTAGTCTAGATATGTCTACTAGATGCTCACGTTTACAAACTTTATAGGTTTGTGCTCCCGATTCCTTTTATATTAGACTCCTTGCACCGAGGTGCAAGCTGTTTGCATATAAGCAGCCAAACTGAAAGGAAATTGACTGAGCGATTAGTAGAAGGGAGGGGTATAGATGCCGGCAGCCCTCAGGCAATCACCAGGATTGTCGCTATCCTTTTCTAAGTTGCTACAGCTGGTGTTGGTGCACCTCTGAGTCATCGTTGTGGATTCAGCTTTTGTCCTGTCCTACCAGTCCCACGCACTTACACAAAACATGCAGGGACCAGGGCTGGAAACCGCCTGCTGACCTCCTGCTCAGGGGCCTGTGGGGTTGACCTACCATCAACCTGACTGATTCAGCCTGTAAACTAGGTTTAACAAAGGAGCCATTAGAAACAAGATGGATTGGGACCAAATTTGGGAACAGCATAAGAGGGCAGTAATGAACTGGGCAGGGAAAAAGAATTTCATTGCCAAATACCACTATAGCAGCAGGAAGGAGAATGTGGAATGTGCACTTTTTCAAGGCGGTGACATCTTGAGTGAGAATGCACTGTTTCCCTTCACTGGTCAGAGGCTGGAAGAGGTTATAAGGGAACCTTGAGAATCATATAGAATTTTGCCAATCTCTTATTGTGGCAGGAATTATACCACAAGTCTGACTGCATTGCTATGATTTCTCATAAGGTGACATTCCTGTAGTGCAGCTGGTGCAGAGACACTAAGGCAATATTAGTTATATGTATTTTTGATTGTTTATATTAGAATGCTATATATTGCAATCCATAATATATCTGAGTTACAGGGACCAGTAATAAATATGGGAAAGTTGTCACTAAACCCATTGTTGCCTGATGTAGATATAAAAATTGCACATGTTAAAAATCCAAAATAAGAAAATTCTGGTGTAATACAGTCAGTCAATTAATGTGAGTAAGGTGTACTAAGAGGATGTCTTTCACATTAGACTGTCCACAAGCACTACCAGACAACTCTGGGCACTGAGTGCAAGATAGAGTTATTTCCTGTTCTGGAACTAGCTAACCTGTTTATGTATTTCCAGCAATTTCTTGTTTGTATTTTCTTATAGCTAGACCACATTCATATGCATTCAGTGCAGTGTGTTCTGAATTTAAACAAGCTTTTGTTAGCTATATTCTTATCTAGTAATTGGGAAGAAGAAACCATCTCCCTCCATTAAGAAGACAACAAAACTATTTCATTGGAGTCAGGCCTCACTATTAGTGCTGTTTTGTGTGTGTGTGTGTGTGTAAGTAAAATATATATATTTTATATAATATAAATATATATTATATATATATAAAAAATTGAGTGTAAGTTGTTTGTAGATTGTAGGTTCTGGTTATCCAATTATATGGATAAAATTCTGTCAGTGACTGAGATTCTTGAACCGCCTCTTGTTAAGTGGAACAGTGCCACAGGACATCTTCCAAAGCACTGGTTGCTGGGAGTTTTCAAGTCCCATAGTGTTGCCTGCCCGTCTTCAACCTGTTTTTCTCAGGTTGCTGTGTTAGCTCAATGTTTTTTTTTTCTAGAGTACCTTTGCACTTTTATTTTGCGAGGGGAGGGTTGAGTTTAGGAAACGGTTGAGCTTGTCTTTGAGATGGATTTTTCTTTTGAACTTGTAATAATCTGTGTAAATCAATAAAGAATCTCTGCTTTGATGTGTGTGCATTTTTTCTTTGTTTTTCCCATGCTTCCCTGCCTTTAATTAAATCCAGTCATTCTTGGCCTGAAAGAGGGGACAGTTGAGCTACAGAATGAAGGGATAACACTAACAATACTTTGTCACTCATCCCTGGAAAAATCACTGTTAAGATGAGGCTACAGTTCAATTCACTGAGACTGTTTAATGTCACCTTTTTATTGATGAAAGCATCAAACGTGGGGTTATCATGTTCCTGTTTCAAACATGTTGTGCAGAAATTACTATTTTTGATCAATGTCATCTTCCTCACACCACCACCCCACCCCCCCTCCTGTTTCAGTTGATTTTTGAGAGTTTTTGCTACACATAGTTCGTTGGGTGCGAAAATGCATTAAGAGTTTGTTCCAACGGACCATTGCAAGAGAACACGTCAGGTTGCGTCTCTCCAATGGAACAATCACTGTGTTACCGCAACATTGCAGCTGAGAGTGGTGATAGATAAGGCTGGGGTTTGATTGCACTGCCTGACTCTGCATTCCAGCTTCAAGTTGCACTGCATCACCACATTTCACAAAAGTAGCATTGCACACCGTGACATTGCAGTTCACTGTTGCTCCGTTTACCTTTCTGCATGTACCAGGTGTATGTTAAAGTCTTTCCAAAGAATATTGTTCTCATTGACTTCAAACAGCACAGAAATTTGAGACACAAGGTGGTTCAAGTGATTCTTGAACATTTTTGTCCAAGGGCACTGCACTCTGCAGACCACCCAAAAATCCTAGCTTCTCCACATTCACTTCCAACTGCATTTAGAAATTAGTACTAATGGAAACATCTGGAGACAGTAAATATTGTGTTGCTTCTTCACTATAAGAACATAAGAACTAGGAGCAGGAGTAGGCCATCTGGCCCCTCCAGCCTGCCCCACCATTTAATAAGATCATGGCTGATCTTTTTGAGACTCAATTCCACTTAACCGCCCACTCACCATAACCCTTAATTCCTTTACTGTTCAAAAATTTATCTAGCCTTGCCTTAAAAACATTCAGCGAGGTAGCTTCAACCGCTTCACTGGGCAGGGAATTCCACAGATTCACAACCCTTTGGGTGAAGAAGTTCCTCCTGACCTCAGTCCTACATCTGCTTCCCTTTATTTTGAGGCGATGCCCTCTTGTCCTAGTTTCACCTGCTAGCGAAAATAACCTCCCTGCCTGCACTTTATCTATTCCCTTCATTTTCTTATATGTTTCTATAAGATCTCCCCTCATTCTTCTGAATTCCAATGAGTATAATCCCAGTCTACTCAGTCTCCCCTCATAATCCAACGCTCTTAACTCTGGAATCAACCAAGTGAATCTCCTCTGCACCCCCTCTAGTGCTAGTATATCTCTTCTCAAGTAAGGAGACCAAAACTGCACACAGTACTCCAGGTGTGCCCTCACCAGGACCCTGTACAGCTGCAGCATAGCCTCCCTGTTTTTAAACTCCATCCCTGGAGCAATGGCAGACAAAATTCCATTTGCCTTTTTAATCACCTGCTGCACCTGCAATCCCACCTTCAGTGATTCATGCATAAGGACACCCAAGTCCCTCTGCACAGCAGCGTGCTACAATTTTTTACCATTTAAAACATAGTCGATTTTGCTGTTATTCCTACCAAACTGGATGACCTCACACTTATCAACATTGTACTCCATTGTTCACTATGTATAAATTTGATTTTTTTTAAAATTAGGTAAAATAATCATCCCAGAAACACATAATAACATTTTTATACTGTCAATATTAATACTACAAAAGAGCACTTTTCTCAAAAGTGTGCTAATATGTTGTACAATTATAAATAGGGGAAGTAGTGGTATAGTGGTATTAGAAATCCAGAACCCTAGGCTAATGTGGTGTCTCTCAGAAATAGGGATGGGTAATAAATGCAGGCCTAGCCAGTGATGCTCACATACCACAAGCAAATTTAAAATGAAGAGAAGTTGCTTGCATCAACATTAAACTAAATTAACAGTGACCTAGATTTGCTTATAAAACGACATAATTGTTGCTCGGGTGAATTGTGAGTGAAAACGTTTCCTGCATCTCCTCTACAGATCTTGTGTCAGATATTTCAAATGTATGATCTCTTGATTAACAACCAATTCATCAGATTGTTGAAGTTACAGATCAGCCATTTCAATGAACATGTTCACTGCAGCTCCAGGTCCCTTCCTATGTATTTTTTGTCAATTTGTGAGATGTGAGTGGTGATGGTGAGGCAGTGTTTATTTTCCCTCCTATAGAACCTGAGGAAGGTATGATGCTTTTTCTCACACAGCAGTATAGCCATCATGCTTGTGTTGAATGGGAAGTTCCTGGGTATTGAACCAGGAATGATAGAGAAACGCACAATGTATGAGCTGCAGGTGATGGTCCTTCCAGATATTTTTATTCTTTGCCCTCCTTAGCAGTTGAGATGATAGGACTTGACTGTGCCTCCAAAGCAAACCTTGCTATATTGCTGCAGTGTCTGCAGTTGCAAGGGGACGCAGTAGGTACAGTGTCCCAATTGTTGACTGGGTCAATATTGAGTACAAGGGCAGAAGAACAGAACAGTACAATTAGTTTGGTCAAGTATTCCTCTGCATTTCTGACTTGCATAGAGTTATCCTGGAGAGGCATAAAATGGACAAAATGTGTTAGAATAATTTGATACTTTTAAGAGGTATAGTTTTATCATTTAATGATGGGGAGGAACAAGCAGAAAGGACTTAGTCTTTCAAATTCTTTAAAGGCAATGTTTCTTTTGAAAGGCCACTGTTACTGCAGCCAGAGCTTTGACAGCGATCTGAAACCCTAGTCTGAGCCTTTTGATTTGTTGTTGTCACATGTACCCAAGTACAGTGAAAAGTTTTGTTTTGTGTGCAGCACAGGCAGATCATATCATACAAGGACATACAGATCGTAGCGTGATTGAACAGAGTGAGGCATACAAGGTTTCGGCTGCAAGATCAACATTAGATTTGAAATTTGAGAGGTCCATATTAACAGCAGTGAAGAAGCTGTTCTTGACCCTGTTGGTACATGTGTTTTAAGCTTTTGTATCTTCTGCCTGACTGAAGAGGTTCGAAGAGATTATAACCGGGGTGGGAGGGGTCATTGATAATGCTGGCTGTCTTTCCACAGAAATGAGAAGTATTGATAGATCAGTGGATGGGAGGTTGGCTTGTGTGATGGTCTGGGCTGTGTTCACAACTTTCTGCAATTTCTTACAGTTCTGGGCAGAGCAGTTGCCATACCGAGCCATGATGCCTTGAAAGAAACATTACGGCACAAGATGTTTGTGGAATATCACGTCAAGAATCAACCATAAACGTGATTTGAAACGTGAACCACGCAGAGTAAGAATGTCCCTGTACTTGGGGAGTGTCTCAAAATATCTACTTCAGTACCAGGAGGAGTAGGTCTACTCCTTTATTCCCCATCCTTTCCTCGAGTTAAGGTTTCTGCCAATATTTTGGCAGGCAATTCTCTGATACTGGCATCACAATCTAACCAGTCTGTTCCAACTGAGACATGATATCCTGCCTTTGACTGGCAAAGCTTGTTAGATCTTGACCAGGAAGTCTAGCTTACTTTTCCTCTCCCGAATTAGTGTGGGCAATTGTGGCACATTTACTGACCTGACCTCGGTCAACAAACACAGCACAGAACAGGAATCAGACCAAGGTCTCTTTGACCAACATGGCTCAGTATTTGGGTAGCACATTAAGTATTAAAGACCTCTTCCCTGTTCTTGTCATCTTCCCTCAACTAGATGTCATCCCCAAGGCAATGGAGCAGTCTGTCTAAAGACATTTCCATCGACACTGCCAGAATTGCACATTAGAAGGTGAAGTGACAATTATTATAGAATAGAAGAAGGCCTCCTGGCTCACTGTGCCTATGGCAGCTCTCTCCAAATGAGTATTTCACTCATTTGCCTTCTTTCAATAACTCTGCATTTTTCTCATTTTTCAGATAACATTCAAAGGACAATTAGACTGCTTTAATTGAACCTGCCACCACCACACTCTCAGGCAACTTATTCCAGACTGTCTAAAGAAATAGGAGCAGGAGTGGGCCGAATGGCTGCTTAGGATTGTTTTTAAAAATATGTGAAATGTGTCCTTTGCTGCCTTGGTGGTGAGCTACCTTAAAATGCTCGAGTCCATTTGCTGATGAGACGCAGTGCTATTAGTGAGGCAATTCCAGGATTTTGTCCAAGAGACAATGAAGAAATGGCAATACACTTCCAAGTCAGGATGGTATGTGGCTTGGAGAGGACTTTGTTGGTGGTGCTATCCTCATGCATCTTCTGATGTTGTCCTTCTAGCTAAAGTGGTCAGGGATGGAAAAGTGTTGTCTAAAGTTGTCTGAGCGTCAGTGGGGGAGGGAATGAGTGTTTGTGCATGTGGTGCCAATCAGGCAGCTGCTTTCTCCTGGGTGGTGCTGAGCTTCCTATTTGTTGGAGCTGCATACACCCAGGCAAGTGGGGAATGTTCCACCACACTCCTGGCTTGTGACTTGTAGATGGTGGACAGACGTGAAGGATTTCTAGTGTCTAAACATAGTATTTTCTTATGGCTAATCCAGTTCATTTCCTGGTCGTTGGAAAGGTAGAATCGCCATTGTTCCAGAGGACCATAGGACTGCTTTCTCATTAGAGAGTTATAGAGCCAACCAGTTCAGGTGAGGGATGAAGTTGATAAAGTTGCGCCTATATGGTAACCTCAGCCAGTGATGGGAATTGAACCCATAGGTTTGGCATCACTCTATATCACAACTCAGCTAACCAGCCCCTTGATCATTCATGACTCCTGGAAGGTTAATAGTCGGGTTTCGGTGATGTAATGCCATTGAATGTCAAGCAGAGATGGTTTGATTCTCTCTTGATGCTGATGGTCATTGTCTGGCACTTGTATGGTGTGAATGTTATTTGCTATGTGTCATCCCAAGCCTGGATATTCTCTAGGTCTTGCTGCATTTGAA